CTCTCTCTCTCTCTCTCTCTCTCTCTCCTGTGCTCCAGGCTGGGCATAATATTTCTGGGTCTGATTTATTGTTTCAATTAGAGCCTGGGGAGGGGGATTATAGATGACTCCCCTTCCTCTCTGCCTACCCTTCTCCTCCCAATGCTCAGCTTTGGCCAAGGGGCAGGGTCTGTGGCCTGGGAGCCCTTGGTGCCCATCTCTGCCAATCCCATGCCAACCCTGACAGATGAGCGATGGCGGAGGGGTGGAAGTATTTGGGGGCACTCAGCCAGTGGAGAAACCTGTCCACCCACCCATCCCTTGGAAGAAGAGGGCGAGTGTCTCCAACCCACCACACACCCAGGCACTTCTGTGTTCAGAATTTTCCTTCAGAATGTCTGTTTCCATAACAGCTCTTGGCCAGTGGCAACTACAGAATTTTTATCTAGTCAGCCCTGAGTTACACATGGTGGAAAGCGTGTATGAGTAGAGAGGCAGGGCTCTTCTTAAAGCTGGCATTGCCAAACTTTCACTTGAGAAGGAGGAAGCACCAGTCCCCGTGGGAATTATTTGTACCCCCCACTCTCTTTTGCTGCTGGCCGCAGTGCAGGGTAGCAACTCTCTCCCCACCTCCCCCATGCCTAGACCAAGGGGTCTTCCTCTGGGGCTGAGGCTGGGGGCAGGGTGGAGCCTTGCCTATGGTGAGAGCCCCTCTCTCTGTTCCCCCACCCCCAGAGTTTTACAAAGAATTGGCCTGGGTCCCTGAGGCACAGAGGAAACACACAGGTAGGGACGCCTCCCTCTGCCCCGACTTCTGCAGCAGCCTTTGACTAGGTGCCCCTGCCTGCCCCATGTCAACCCCTCCCTGGTGTCTTTCAGCCAAGAAGGCACCTGATGGCACTGTCATCCCTAACGGCTACTGTGACTTCTGCCTGGGTGGCTCCAAGAAGACAGGGTGTCCCGAGGACCTCATCTCCTGTGCTGACTGTGGGCGCTCAGGTGAGGTTTCTGGGGCCTGGCATGGAGGGGACACCCAGAACTGCAGACCTTGGGGGGTGCAGCAGGGGGGTCCGTGTCCTAGGGCGCTGTAGGGGGCCAGAGCCAGTGGAGCTGACGGCACTGCTGAGAACCGTGGGACACGGAGTGGGGCCAGTGAGGCTTTGGGGATCATGGGATGCGGTCGTTACGGCACTGGGGGAAGTGCCGTGTGCTGATCATAGCATCAGGAGTAGTGGAAGGTGGTTGCCCCGGCATCGCGGGTCCATTGTGGCCAAGATATGCTGGGTACTGTGGCTAACAGGACGATGGCAGTGTGGTTAGTAGGGTGGGTTTCCCGTGGCGCATTGTGGGTAACACACCGGGGTTGCTTCAGCCCAGTGGGTCGTGTATCATGGTTGTCCTGGTAATTTGGTACAGTGGAATGCAGTTGTTAGGGCATCCAGGGTGGCGGACTGTGGGGCAGTGGGTGATCTTCGAGTCGTTCTGCATCGGGCTGGTGGACTATTGGAGTGGGTTTGCACAATAGTGCTAGTGGCAGTTTGGTGGGCGGGGCACCAAACGGGCTTAGGTTGCCTGGGACCGAGGTGTGGGGAGAGCTGGTGTGGCAGGTGGGTTGCTGTGGCATTGTGGCCTGCAGGGATGTGGTTGCCGTGGTGCTGTGGTTAGCAGGGTCTGTTTGCCATTCTGTTGTGAGTAACAGAATGTGGCTGCCTCAGCACGGTGGTTAACAAACTGTGGTCGCTGCGGTGTTGTGGGTGGTAGAACACGGTTGCCACGGCACTGTGGTAATGGCATGCGGTTGCTATGGTGTTCTGGGAGCAGAGTGTGGTTGAAACGTGTCTGGTGGGAGACTGTGGCGACCACAGCACTGCTGATTGCAGTTCCCTTGCTGGGCACTCCGTGGGGCATGGCTGTGGCCTTGAGGCACAGGGTCAGACGTGGACCCGGAAGATCATCTCTGCCTTGGGAGCCGGTGGTGAGGGCTGGGAGTTTCTCCTCCAGGGGCATGACAACTCCCTAACCACACCCCTGCCCCTTGTCCTCCAGGACACCCCTCGTGTTTACAGTTCACGGTGAACATGACAGCGGCCGTGCGGACCTACCGCTGGCAGTGTATTGAATGCAAGTCCTGCAGCCTGTGCGGCACCTCAGAGAACGACGTGAGTGTCTGCCCGCCCGCCCCTCAGGATGCCCCCAGCCATGTTCCCCACCTGGCACCTCCACCCTTGCCAGTTGAACCCAAATCCTTTCCCTGGAGACCCTCCCTGGTGAACACCAGTAACACGTATTATTATTATTGTTAGTGTCCGTTAGTTGAGCCCGGCACTTTATACTCCTCATCTCTCTGACTTCTCCCAACCACCCTCTGAGGTAGGTGCTCTCATTCCCACTTGACAGAGAAGAAAGAGCTCAGAGAGGGGGCGCTACCTGCCCACAGTGTACCCCTCCCCCCAGGGAAATGCCAGAGCTGGGATTGGAACCCACGTCAGTTGTTTCTAGCACTGGTGTCAGACCATCTGAGAGTCACTTGAAGTGCCCCACAGAACCTCAGAGAGCCCCACACTGCAAGTCAGCAGTCCGCAGGGGTGTTTCTGCCTGGCCAAGTGGGGCTTTATAAAGATCCCACAATGCAAAGACTTTCTCAGGGGACCACCTCCCCCGCTCCTTTTACCTAGCCCCTGCCCCCCACCCCGGTTTCTGGTGCCCATGCCCCCAGGGTGCCAGCTGGGCGGGTCTCACCTCCCAGGACCAGCTGCTGTTTTGTGATGACTGCGATCGGGGTTACCACATGTACTGCCTGAGTCCCCCCATGGCAGAGCCCCCGGAAGGTGAGAGAAGAGGTGTGCACTTAGCGGGGGTGGATGGGTTGGGACGTTGACTTCTGGTGGTGGAAGCCTGTGTTCTGTGGATGAGAGTGGGTTGTGCAGCCCTCCTGGGGGGCTTGGGCCTAACTCCTGTCCTCCGGCCACCCCGCAGGGAGCTGGAGTTGTCACCTCTGTCTTCGGCACCTGAAAGAGAAGGCTTCTGCCTACATCACCCTCACCTAAGCCTGGCTCGGGCTTACCTGGACCTCTAGGGTGGTGTCTGCCTACCTGCCTCGCCGAGTCCTCTACTCCCCCCCACCCTTCATGCCCCGTGGTGGGAGTGGGAGAGGGCAAGGCTTGAGACGGGCCAGGCCACCCCTGCCCTTTGTGCAAGTGGAACGTTTGCCCTGTGGGCTGGTGGTCCTAGTCGGGCCTCGATCCCTTCCTCCCTCCTTCCGCATCCCTCGGCAAATGGGCACCAGGGCCTTCTGCTCCCATCAAAGCCATACCCCGCCTCTGGGCGGGCATAGGGGGGTAGATGCCAGCCAGGGACACGGACAGAGCCTTTTTCTAAAGAAAAAGACAAAAAAAGTTAAAAAAAAAAAAATTAATATATACAGAGAGTCCTATAAGGCCTGCTGGGTGGAGGGGCAGTGCTAAGAGCCACAGGGCACCAGTCTATGCCAGCTTCCTGCCTGGCCCTCCCTCCCGTTTCTGGAGTTGCAGCTGTCCCAGCAGCCCTCCCACCCCCCATCCAAGGTGAGCACCGCTGCCCCTGGTGCCAGGGTGGGTGGGCATGGTGCCCGTCCCTTGCCTCCCCCCGCCCCCGGTGCCCACCGTGGATACTGCATGATGTGAACCATGGTTTTGAACTCTGTTCCTGCCCCCTCCTGAGAGCCCTGCCCTGTGCCCACACCCACGCCTGCCCTGGCTGGTGGGTGGCGGCTGGTGGGGCAAGGCGGGCCCCTGCCCGGCGCCTGCTGGGATGAGAAGCACAGACCCTGCAATGGACTAGTTGTCCCTCCTTCCGGTCCCTCTTCCCCACCCGGCCAGGCCGGGTGCCCCCTGCCACCTCGCTGGCCATTTTGAGGGTGGCGAGGGGCGTGGTTGTTTCTTGTGGTTGTGTGTGTTTATTGTTCGGGTTTCAAAAAAAAAAGGGAAATTGAGACTGCAAGTGGGGGAGGTGGTGGGTTTGGGGGGGGGTCTCCCCGACTCCAGGTGTGCCCCCCTTGTAAACGAGTCTCCTTTACTGCCTGCCTCTGCTGTGACTTAACTTGTTCTGTGTATTAAACTGGGCCTGACCCCTCTGCCCACGACTGCCTCCTTCTCCAGGCCGGTTGGGGCGTCGCTGAGCGAGGGAGACGGGGCCCGGTTGGGGGAGAAGCAACTGAGGTGAACAGCTGGAGCCAGCTCCCCCGTCTGTCCCCCCTGCACCCTGCCTCTTGCTGGCTTTGTCCCAGCTCCTCCTCGCCTTGCTGTAAAGGAGAAGGGGGATGGGGTGGAGGGGGCTCCCCGCCCAGCCAGCTGTGGTTGCCCTGACAACAGACTGCTGCAGCTGCAGCGGGAAGCAGTGGGGAGGGAGGCGGGGCGCAGGGGGAAGGGAAGGGATGGAGGGAAGATGGGCCGGCCCCTCCCAGAGGCAGGGTGGGGACAGGCAGGGGCACCTCATCCCAGGCCTGGCCGTCATCTGGGCTCCCAGTCCCGGAAGTGGAGAAAGGCTGTGGGGGAGGGGCGGCAGAGAGGAGGATGTTAGAGGGGAGGAGGAAATAGATAGTCATGGGGAGGGACATGGAGAGACTGGGACTTGGGCGGTGTGATGAGGTGAGGGAGAGGAAAACAGATGACGAGAGTCACAAATTTGTGGAGATAGGATCACGAGAGAGCAGGGGAGGGAGAAATAGATCTGGAGAGAGACGGACAGGAGAGTGTCAGGAGTTAGGGGGATGAGAGCGCGGGGAGAGATGGCAACTTGGTGGGGAGAAGAAGTAGTAGTAACAAGTGGACACATTGGGGAGAGACTGAGAAGGAGGGGTGGGCAGTGATTCAGAGAGAAACGCATCAGGAAAGACAAGGATTTAGGGAGAGGGTCAGAGAGATTCCCTGAAGGATGACAGAACCAGGAAACAAGGAAGAGGAAAGGGAAAACTGGAGACTCAAAGGCATGATGGAGAGAGGTGGGGGCCAGAGACAAGGCCAGGTCCAGGAGGCCAGAAGGGGAGAGAAGGGGTTGGGGATGAGGCAGGGAAGTTGAAAACTGGGCCAAGATGGGGCAGGGACCAGCAGGGCACAGAGTTCAGGCGAGACTAGTGGCTGGCATGTGTGGGAGCGGTGGAGTGTGAGATGCTGCTGGTGTATTTCACAGCCGCCAGGAGAGGATGTGAGAACAGGGTGTTCCACGTTTCCCCCTGCTCTCCCCCCAACACCCCGCCCATGCTGGGGAGGTCGGAAGGGAGTTGAGGACAGGGCCTCAGGGAGGGAGAGTCTCAAGAACTCTAGAGGGAGATGGGAGGGCCCTCATCCTCTGGACATCATCCCCACCCTTGAGGAAGAAAGATGCTGGAAGGGGTGTGAGTCAGAAGCACCGAGTTTAGCTCCGAGGCGGAGACTCAGTGATGGGGGCCAGACAGGTACATGGATGAGGTGGGTCAGACACGGATTTTCATGTGGAATTTCCAGATTGGGAAAATCACTTGACTCTGATTTCGGGGTCCATCTCCAAGTATTCACAAGCCAGAAGCAGATGTAGGGGGATGAGTTGAAGACCCTTCCCTACTAGAACTAGAAGGTCGCCTGTATGTGTGTGTGGGGGGTCTTTCTGCAACTTGGATGCCCCCAGGACCTGGAGAGGGGAGGCCACACTGTGCTTCCCCCAGGCCTGGGCTGAGCTGGAGACCAGCCAACCACGTAGCAGTTCTCAGGGTTGTTACAAAGTATGGGAGCCCAGGCCCACGGGTTCACCAAGCTAGTTCTGCTTTCCTCGTGGACTATCTCCAGATTTTAAAAAGTTGACTAACGAATTCTAAAACATACAAACACTGCTCTGCGGCCTGAGCCAGGTTTTCTGGCCTGCAGTGTATGGCTTCTGCAACAGTCTAGCTTTTTTAAACTTAGGGACATTTTACATTCTGAGCGCTGGGTTCCTCTCATTTGGGTTCCAAGGGAAAAAAAGTTAGCAAGGCTGGTTTCCTGGTTCTGAAGGAAACGTGCATGTGTGTGCACATATACACGTACACGTATGTAAGGGGTGACACGTTTGGGATGGGCGACAGGAGGACGGGCAGAGGTGGGGTCACAGGCCCTGCAGCCCCCCGCCCCCACCAGTGAACACACCAGCTGCTTCTACGAAGCATTTATTTCCTTTGAAACCTCCAGAAACATGCCAGAAAATCTCAAAACAAGGGAAAATAAAATAAAAAAAAAAAGAGAATTAAAAAAATCCAAATGAACGAATCAACATAAAAAGAGCTGCTATCTTCAGTCATCAGAACACCAACCTCAAATTAAATAGATTCATTTTGTAGAGATGCTTAAAAAATAGAAAACAAAACCAAAAATCATAATTTACACTTGTCAATGTACATGATTAGGTCCCCAAAAAATGATTCGAATGATCTGAAGATGAAGAGGTGATTAAAAAAAAAAAAAAAGCTCTAGGTTGGGGGTCTGAGGAGATGGGTGAGGGAACTGGGGGACCCCCTGAATGGGGGTGGGGAGAGGAGCAGACGTCACAGTAGTTGGCCAGGGCTGAGGACCGCGGCCTGTGGCAGCTCCGGCCGACCCACGGTGGGGCGAGGGGCTGCCCGAGGTTTTCTCTCACAGGGGGGCTTGGTGCTGCTTGGGGGTCAGAGGGTGATGATGGGAGGCACGTGGAGTGCCCGCTTCTCTCACCTTCCCCAACCGGGCACCTGCCGGAGTAGCTGCATCCTGTGTGCTCCCAGAGCCCCCTTTCCTGAGGTGTGTGGCCCCAGAGAGAAGGCCTGGGGTCTCTGGCCAAGGCGGGGCTGCCTGGCACTGGCTTGGAGCCTCAGGTGTGCTGCTCCGTGAACCAGGCCCACATTGCCACCACCCTCTCCCTGGCTGGCGCCTTCTCCTAAAAGGGAACCCCACCCCATCCTCCCACTGACCCCTACCCCTGGGGACATGCCTTGGTCCTCAGCTTGAGGTTGGGGGATCCACAGACTGTGGCCATACAGACTTGTACTGGCGCAACTCTACATGAAAAAATAAATATATATATATATATATTTTTTGTTTGTTTTTAAAGAAGGAAAAAAAAAGAAACCATTTCCTGGGTGAACAGCGTAGTACCACACTGGCTTGGCTGCCTGGCGAGCTGCCCCTTATTGCCTTGCGAGAACTAGCGTCTCGGGGGTTGAGCCAGCGAAGCCCTCCTTGGAAGCACAGTGAAGGTGTCCAATGGTCCTGCTGCTGTGGGGCCCATGGGGGACCAGGAGGGGCCCGTGGGGGACTGGGAGACTTGCCGGTGGGAAACAAAAGCAGGCGGGGAGGTGAAGGCCGTTTTCCTCCAGCCCTGCCTGGAGGGCTGGGAAGCCCTCTGGGTGCATGGAAGGGACTGGCAAGGCCAGGTCTTGCTGGGGAGGGAGGAGGAGAGGACTGCCCCGGCTGGGCCTCGTCAGCAGCTACCAGGTGGCCTCTGGTCACAGGGGAGCTGACAGAAAAAGACTGTGGGGATCGCCCCGATTGTACAGTGTTCCTCTCTCAAGAGTGTTCACTCTCTGCGTTCTGGGGTTTTCTCAATGCATCCTGGGACCCCCAAGAAAGTAACTTCCCGTCATAGAAAGTGTTCCTGGCTGCTGCTTGGAAGGGAGGGGCTGGGCGCCAATGCCTCTCGTGCTTCTTGGGGCTACCACACTTGGAATGGGGGAGCCCTGTCTGTTTCCATATGGCCCCTCACCTCTGTGGGGCATGGGGTGAGAATGGGCCATTTTACACGGGGGTTTTTCACGCAGGGAGTTTGGCCCCACAAGCCACACCTGTCATACATGGTGAAGAAACCTGGTTTGTGAACTAGAGGTTGGGGCTTGACTTTGAATCCTGCCCTCCCTCTCCCCTTCCTACAGTGCGATGGCTTGGTCCTAGGGAGAGGCCAGAGGGCACAGTGGGATGGGCCCCTCTGGGGGTGGTGTGGGCACGGCTCTGCCCTCAGGGGACCACAGGTGGGCAGCTCAGAGGGAAAGCCTGAGAACACGCCAGCCACGCCCAGATCCTGGCTCACGGCCCCACTGCCATCGTGCTATCGGAGTCCTTCCTTGGGCAGGGCTGCGGTTGGCGCAGGGCCCTGGCTGGGTTACCTTGGTCCCACCTGCAGCCAGGAGCCCACAGTCTGCCCACAGGACAGGAGCGAGGGCTGGGGCAGAGGGGCGGCGGGACGCGGCACTGTATGCCGTGGCCTCTGGCTCTTCAGAGCTCCTTCTTTTCCCTGCAGAAGATCTCGGCGAACTTGCGCAGCTGCTCGCTGGCGGCCTGCGACTCCTCCTGCAGCCGCTGGTTGTTCTGCCGCAGGCTGGCCACCTCTGACTGCAGCACCACCTTGTCCTGCTTCTCCTGAGGGGGGCGGGAGGACTGGGCATCAGGCAGGGCGGGCACAGGCGCTCGCGGGAGCACTCCAAACAGCGAGTGGCTCTTTGGACCAGTGAGGCCTGGTCAGCTGTGGTTTAGAACTGGATGCTGGAGCCAGGCCGCCAGGGTTCAAACCTCAGCTCTGCTTCTCGACAGCTGAGTATCCCTGGGCAGGCCACTTCCCCTCCCTGGGCCCCAGTGTCTGTCCTTCATTCTCACCCCATGTCTGTCCTTCATTCTAAGATGACCTGCCTGAAAGGCGGTGGAGGTTTCCCTGAGGAAAAGGCTTAGGACACAGCCTGACATGGAGCAGTCGCTCCACAGACAGCTCTGTTATTAGGATTATGACCTCATTCTCTCCTCACAGCCCCCTCCCCTGCCAAGGACTTGGGGACTGCTACCATCCCTGTTTATCTGGGAGAGGAAACCAAGCCTTACATAGCTAGTGGGGAGCTGGGATGTGGACTTAGGGCTGGCTGCCTGACCAGGCTCCACTGCGTCTTCCGGCATAACATAACATCCCAAGGCAGTTACTTGTCTACAGTGCTAAGCAGTGGGGCGTGAATTTGAACTCGGGTCTCTCTGATGCCTGTGCTCAAGGACTTAACACATTATACTCTGCCACCACTTTTTGGCCTTTTATCCAGAATCATACAGAACAAGAAGAGAGACCTCCTCCGCCTCTTCCTCTGCGCCCTCCTGCACCCCAGAAGTGAGGAGACAAAGCCTTAACGTTGCCATCCAGGGATCACTCTAGAGCCATGGTTGTTAAACTTTTTTTTCTTTAAATGTATGATGTGAGAATTCGCTCACGATCATTAGCCATCAGAGAGATGCAAATCAAAACAATGATGAGATATCAACTCACCCCAGCAATAATAACAAAGTTCAACAAGACAAAATAACAAATGCTGGCAAGGATGTGGAGAGATTGGAACTCTCATACACTGCTGGGGGGACTGCAAAGTGGTACAACCACTGTGGAAAATGGTATGGTGTTTCCTTAAAAAACTGAAAATGGCAATACATTTGATCCAGCATTTCCATTACTAGGAATATATCCTAAAGAGGTGAGACACAGGACATGGACATATGCACACCCATGTTCTCTGCAGTGCAATTCACTATAGCAAAGAGATGGAAACAACCTAAATGCCCATCGACAGATGAATGGATAACCAATTATGGTACATTCACAAAACGGAATACTATGCCACATTAAAGAACAAGGAGGGATACGTGAATCATCTTACAACGTGGATGAACCTGGCAGACATTATGCTGAGTGAAATAAGTCAATCGCAGAAGGACAAATATTGTATGAGTCCATTACTGTGAAAAGGCAAGGAAGGGTTTGCTTAGGGAAGGGAACTCCCTTTGTAGGTTTCCAGGGACAGGAGGGAAGGAGAGGGGAAAATTGCAGACTAGTTGGGGGCCACATGCTGGGTAGGGGGAGGGACGGTATGGAGGAGTCGGTGACCAGCATGAGAACATTGGGGAAAGGGATGACACCAGAATGGGCTCATAAGATACAGATGACAGAGACTAATACCAGTATATGCACAGTACTGCATTCCCACTACCACCAACCACCAGGCTACAGATAAATGCACAGACAACCGAGAAGATCAGATGGGGGTGGTGAACAGGAACATACACTAGACCAATGACAAATTCAGCTGAGGCTAATCGTGCACAGATACTAGTGATACAATATAACCACAATCATTACAGAAGCAACAGAAGACATAGAGTAATCTCTCACAGACAGCCAGACACTGTGGGGGAGAGATCCACCAGATCTGCTGACTCAGGCCCATAGTACTGGGGGACACCAGACTCAACTGGCACAACAAAACACATAAAAATCTTGTTCCACGGCCTACTTTGGTGGTGGGTAGTGACTGGGGTCTTAAAAGCGTTCAAGTGAAAAAAAGGAAAAAAAAAGAAAAGCTTTTGAGCAGCCATCTAAGATGCAGCTAATGGTCTCCTCTCGTCTGAAGTGAAGAAGAGTGAAGAAAACCAAGGGCATTTGGAAACAATCAACCGTAGGACATGATGGACCTCGAGACCAGAAGAACTAGATGGTGCCCGGCTACCAATGCCAACCCCTCGGGAAGGGATCAAAACTGGAGCTCCTGGACAGGGTGGGAGGAAAAATGTGGAACAAAATTCAAAAACACAATAATGACCAGAATTACTGGTTGGATGGAGTCTGGTGGGACCTCCAAAACTATGGCCCCGGGATACACTTTGAGCCTGGGATAAAACTGATTCCCAAGGGCTGGCTCTCAACCCAACAGTAAGACTTACATGCAGAACACCCAAACCAGGGCGATGCACCCTCCTACTCTACAAATACACACACCTTGGCCATGGGGCACCAGAGGGGCAGCATTCACATGGAGAGGAAGCTGGACAGACAGGAGTCCACAACTAAGAAGGACACAGGGATGGGGGAGAGGTCACCAGGAAGGGAGAGGAGGAGAGTGGGTCAGGGTTGGGGCTGGTAATCGGGGAGGGAAACCAAATGTACATGAACTGTTGAATGTAAAACAAATTCTGCTCTGTAAATGTGCACCCAAAGCACCATAAAATAAATAAATGTATGGTGGTGGTGTTCTATGAAACAGTTCCACAGTTTATTTTGATTTAAGCAACTGGACTTTTTGTGTGTGCCCATAATGTGGAGATTCCTGCTATCACTGCAATCCCGTGTGGATATGCTGTCATTTACAGTCACCCCCCCACTGACGGCCCAGAGGGCTGCAGTGAACACTTGATACATGTCTTCTAGGGCCCGTGCTTGACCTTCTGTAGGACAAATGCCCACAAGTGGAACTGCTGGGGTCAACCAGTTGCACATTCCCATTTCTGAAAAGTGTCTCCCTGCAAAAAGACTGGGCCAATTAACTGTCCCCCGAGAATGTCTGAGGGTCCCACCTGTGTTTCTCAGCAGTACTGGGTGGGACCGGTGTCTCCCAGAATTCATGTCCACCCAGAACCTGCGAATGTGACCTTTTGAAGATAAGGTGGCGACAGACGGAATCAAGATCGGAAGAGGTCCCCCTGGACTGGGGGGCTAACTCCAGTATGACTGGTGTTGTGTTAAGAGGGGCCTCTGGACACAGGCACATGGGAGGGAAGATGACGTGCAGACAGACACACAGGTCCTCCCAGGCCATGTGAAACCAGAGGCAGCAACGGAAGTGGCGGATACATCGAGCCGCCAAGAACAGCCAGCACTGTGCAACCAGGAGAAGCTGGGACAGAGGCGAAGAAGATGCCCCCACAGAGGCTTCGGAGGGAGCACGCCCTGCCAACATCTTGACGGTGGACTTCTAGCCTCCAGAACCGTCGGAGAATAAGCTCCTATTCTTTCAAGTCACCAGCTGATGGTACTGTTGTGACATCACAGGAAACTAATACACCAGCTTCAGAACTACAGCCACAGCCGGTGGCTTCCCGAGGAGGGAAGGGGAGGGCACAGGGCCTGGGGAGGGGTGTTGGGGGCATTGCTTGCCTCTGCGCCTAGCCCTCTGGAGGGACTGGGGAGTGGCATGGGGCTGGTGGCCTTACCTTCTGGAGGTCTGTGTGCAGCTGTTTCAGCATCACTTCCAGCTGGTACACCTTGCCTGTCAGATCCAGGGGCAGCTCCTCGCTGCAAAGACAGGTGGCAGCGTCAGGCTGGAGGCCTGCCAGCCGCTCTGGGAGTGATCTCAGCTCACACTTGTGAGGAGCACAGGGTACAGCCACCTTTGGCCCTGCGGTTCTGGCAGGTGTTTCCTTGCTGGGGTCCTTGGCGGGGCCAGACCATCCTCCCTCCCTGGCCACGTTCCACCTGCTGAGGGCACATCTGTGCTGGTGGCTGCAGGCTGTGCTTGTGCCTGCCCCGAGGCGTGTTTCTCCCAGAGCAGGGGCCGTGCGCTTGACCTTGGGGAGCAGCTTTCCCCAGTGCCCACCGCAGGTGGCACAATACAGAGACTTTGCTCCAGACATCCTGAGAATACAGCGTGTCCCAGGTGCTGTCCCTGGAGGTGTGTATGTGGACAAAGGGGCAAAGGGACAGGCTGCTCATTACTGAGAGCCTAGTGTTTCCGAGCCCTGTGCTACATGCCTCCACGTGCAGCCTGGATGTCTCAGAGCCCCCCTACCCTCTGCGACCTGCAAGGTCACCAGCGCTGTTACAACTGGACAGAGGAGGAAACCCAGGCTTGCTCATCCAAGAGCCGGTTCTGGGTTTTGAACCCAGTCCCACAGCCTGTGGCTCCTCCTTTGTGCAGAGAACTGGAAACCCTTTCCACTGAGGAAGGCTCCACTGGGCCCTGTGGGACACGTGCATTCAGCGAGGATGCTGAGGAGGGGACAGGCTGGGGCAGATGAGGGGAGGTAGGGTGTCGTAGATGGAGAAAAGGGGAAGACTCGGCCCTCTCTTCTCACCATGGTCCTGAACCTACACCTACACACGCGCATGTGCGTGTACATGTGTGTGCGCACGTGTAGGGCAGATGGGATGAGGACACCAGCTGGGGGCAAAGGGAATCCAGGAGTGCTCCCAGAGGCCAGCGGTCTGCCCTTCCCCATGCCATCTTCTCCCTACCCTCACTACCCGGACATCATCTGTAGCCCTCTCTCTGTGGACTGGCAGCGGAGCCACATCCTGGGTTGAAGGTGAGCCCTAGCGTGTGAGGCAGAAGCACGGCTGGCGGACTCACCCCGCCCTGCAGGCTTGGCAGGCACGTGTAAACGCACTATTTCAGTTTGTGAACACGCACAACGTGCATTTACAGCCTTACCCTCTTTTTTACTTTTTGCCAAAAGCCAGTGGGTCAGGCAGGTGCTGAACGTGAGCAGTGTGTTGCCACAGGCCTGCTCAATGAGAAGCCCCACGAGGCCAGGGCTTGGGCACATCTCGTCGTCTTATTTACCACTGGGTCCCTGGGAAGCCCAGCACACGACCTGGTGGGGACCAGGTGGAAGTCTCTATGACTTAGGAATATGGAGAGGAGGTGAAGAAGGAGCAGACAGAGGGGAGACTGAAGGCAGAGATGGGACACCGAGGGCAGAGAGAAGGGGACACCGAGGGCAGAGAGGTGGAGGGAGACCGAGGGGCAGAGAAGGGGGAGAAGACACCGAGGGGCAGAGAAGGGGAGAGACCAAGGACAGAGAAGTGGGGAGACTGAGGGGCAGAGTCAGGGAGACTGAAGGGCAGAGAGAGAGGGGAGAACAATGGTAAGGGCATAACTGAGGAGCGCTGGCTTAGTGTTTTTCAAATCTGAAGTAAAACAATTGTGGGAATACTAGTGTTGTTCCCACCAGACTTAGGACTCTGAGGACAAGGGCTGAGTCTTGGTCACTGCTGCATCCCAGGTCCCTGGGTGATTCTGGGGAAACCTCACCTCATGGTAGGGGTGGTCCTGGGGGTCGGGGGCCCCCTCTCCAGGCTCAGGTGGCTGTGGACAGGGCTGTGTGCAGGTGGGATGTCCGGGCTCAGGGCTGGGTCATTGAGAGAGAAGAGAGAGACGGCTCTTTGCACTGCGAGAGAGAGAGGAATGGGGCTGAGGCCTCTGTGGGCCGCGGGGGTCAGGGGATGCAGTCTTTCCCAACCATCCCACCACCGACCAACCACACCCGTTAGATCACACAGGCACTGAGGATGCATTCCTGCCAAATAACCAAACCAACAAAAACTCATCCTGATTTTGGTCCAGACTCTAGATTCAAAATACTTGGGAGGGAGAAGCGAGCTATGCGATAGGGTGAGGAAGCAGCAAGAGAGTCAGACTGCGGCACAGTTTCCGCATCAATGACCGGCTTTCATATCAAATGCGCGGAGACTTGCGGAGCTGGAACTCGGCGGGACTGCCGTCCTCTGGTGTCTCACCAGGGCTGGCGTCTGGCAGGGCGCGGTCTTACACTTTCCTTCTCTTTCTATTATATGATTAAACTTAAGTTTTCCTTCTATGGCAGGTTTCTGCCTTACCAAGGTCCCGGCCTTGGCAAAAGGCCAAAGTGGGTGGAGTTGAACCGGGGGATGGGTACACGGGGCTTGCTATGCCATTCATTTTGGAGGATACTCATACATTTTCGGAGCAAGAAGGAAGGAAAACTGAAAGAGAAAGAGAGGGACCACCACATGTACTGAACAGAAAAAGTCACTGGGGATGCTGTTACAGTAAAGATTCCGGGTTCAACCTGAGACCTGGCGCTGGATCTGGGGGTGGGGGCTGAGGCGGTGCGATTTTAAACGTGACTGTCAGGTCTGGCAGAGCAGTGGGGACAACCCCACACCCTCAACAGCAGCTGGCTGACCAGACCATGGGACAGGCGACCAAGGGCATATGACGACCATTGAAATGAGGCACATGGAAGCCGTGTGGGGAGGCTGAAGGTGGCGGGAACCAGCCAGGGACACGGCACCCTTGCTGCCTGGGCCAAACCACATGGGCGGGCTCTGAAGGTTCAACTCTGTACACTTCCCTCAGATCCAGTTGTTACTGGGCCGTCACATGACTTGTTCTCCTCTGTACATTTTTTCCCCTAACCATTGAGGGTAAATTTACCTCATTCCCTCCACAGACCTCACTGCATAACTCCAACAAATAAAGACATTCCCCTAGATCATCAGAATATTGTCATACTCAAGAAATTCCACGTTTGTACAATACCATCATCTTTCAAATTTCCCTGTTTCTGAGGAACAGTCTTCATACTGTTTTGCTCTCTTGGGTTGAATATTTCTTCTCTTTGAAAATGTTTAAAATGTTTTAATGGGAACAATTTCAAACATACCCCAAAGCAGAGAGAAAACTGCCTTATGAATCCTCATGAACTCATCACCAGTTCCATTAATTATCAATATCCAGCCACTCTGGTAAGGAGGTCTGGTGGCGTAGTGGGTAAGGGAGGCACCTGGCTGTGAACCAGGTCAGTGGTTCAAACCCACCAGCTGCTTCATGGGAGGAAGATGAGGCAATCTACTCTGTAAAGATTTATAGCCTTGGAAACCCAATGGGGTCGCTATGAGTCGGAATCCACTTGATGGCAGTGGTTTTTTTTGGTCACTCTGGTTTCCTTCCCTGTCCTTTTACATTTTATTTTCTCCCTCACTCCCCCCTTACTGTTCTAAAGCAGCGTATTGAGGTAACATACCATGAACTGCATGTTCAAAGTGTACAACTCGCTAAGTTCTGACCTATGTCTATCAACTTAAGCAATAACCACACTCAAGATGACAGACCTACCGACCACCCCAGCAGCCCTGTGTCCACGCATAACCCTCCCTTCCTTCCTTTTTTTTTCTTAACTTTTTACCTTTGAAATAATTTTTAGACTTAAAGAATGAGTTGCAAAGGTCATTCACAGAATTCTCAGAACATTTTAGTTATTCTAACATTTTACAGAACCATGTGTAATAACTGAAGTGAACATACTAACATAGGTCCAAAACTATTAACTACGCCACAGATGTTGAAACGATTTTCCGACTCAGCTCTTTTTTCTGGTACAGGATCTAATTTAAGACCCCAAATGCACTTAGCTGCCATGTCTCCTCTGAGCTGTGACAGTTTCTTCTTCCTTTTATTTCATGACCTTACCATTTTCTGAATAGTACTTCAAAATAAACCAACAAAACAACAAAAATCCATCCTAATTCTGATACCAAATACCAGAAAGGTGTTCTGCAGGAAGTCTCAGTTTGGATTTGTCTGACATTGCATGGACTTGGAGCGAGTGCCAGCGAGGTGATGTGGGCCATCCCTAGTGCCTCAGCCCAGAAGCTGCCCGAGGTCCACGTGTCTTACTACTGGCGACGTGAACCTTGACCTTTGTTAACCTGGTGTCTGCCAGGTTTCACCACTGTAATGTTACCACTTCTCCCTTTCAACACTTCCATTTGTTAGACTCGAGCCACTATGGCCACCCCAGCCTCACACTGGGGAATTCAGCTTTACCTGCTGGAGGGACAAGTACCTAAGAATCTGGGGATCATCACAATCAGGAGTGAGTATCTGGGGGGCAGACAGCTGGAGGCTACGTAAATATCCCTTTCTACTTGGTCTCCCCACCAATGTCCCATTCACCAGAAGGTCTTGCCTGTAACCATTATTACTAGGTTGTCCTAATGATAAATTTATATTGTTCGCATTCCTTCTAGATTTATTAATTAGGGTTCTTCTGTAAGGAAGAGCTGTTGCATCTCCACATTTACTTATTTATTGACTCATAACTAAAAAAGCAAAGATGTCACTCTGAGGACTAAGGTGCACCTGACCAAAGCCAAGCCATCTTTAACTGCCTCATACACGTGTGAAGGCTGGACAATGAATGGAACTGAGGAAGACCCAAGGGCTGACTGGGCAACATCATTGTTTTATTTTGTTGCTTCAGTTGTTCCAGCTTTGGTCAATGGGAGTGCTTCCTGGTTGGCTGCTATGCCTTAGTGACATGCCCCATCTTTTTTTTTTTTTGAGCAACTCCCTTACTTTCTGGAGGAGCTCTGGTGGTATAGTAGGTAAGGCATTTGGCTGCTAGCCGGAAGGTGGTGGTTTAAACTCACCAGCTGATCCACGGGCGGAAGGTGAGGCAATCTACTTCCGTGAAGACTGACAGACTTGGAAACCCAATGGGGGTCGCTGTGAGAAGGAACTGACTTGATGGCAGTGGGTTTGGTTTGCTTTTGGTTTACTTTCTAGTGCCACAAGTTGTGCTCCCTGTTACCCACGTCCCCCCTCCCCAAATATTTTCAAGCAAATGTCAGACATGTTGGAATTTCACCTGTAAATACTTCACTAGGTGTCTCTAGCAGATCAGGGCTTTATTATTTTTTTAACAAAACTATGCCATGAACACACCTAAAAAGGTTAAAGCTATTTCTTTTCCATTTTTCCAAACTGCACAGATAACACCCACATATATTTTCACTAAAAAAACCCAAACTTTACAGTACAGCTGCCACCACCCTGGTTCCACTGCCGGCTCCTTCCTCCTCTCCAGAGGAGGACACTGTCACCAGGGAGCTTCCTTCCAGGTCTTTCTGCTGCACTGGCTCACCCCCCCCACCCCCTTCATAACCATCTATGTTGTTTCTGTGGTTCATCTATTAATTTTAAGAAAAAGAAGCCAACTCCCTTGGCAAAGTCTGGGTAGAGAGCCAGGGCCATCAGCCAGGCTTCCCAGGCTGTCTGGCCATGTGGTACACGCAGAACCCACCCTCATTTCCAGGGCACAGCCCCTGGGGTCAGTGGAGGGCTGTGGGAGTGGGGGGGAGGAGCTTTGGTGGCCAGTGGAGGGGTCACTGGCCCCGGGTGCACTGGTAGGCAGCTCTGCCCAACACAGACAATCCAGCCACCACTGCCAGCATCTGGATCTCCAGGGAGGGGCCTGGAGACAACTACCAGCTCCCTGCTGGCCCACAACTAGGGGTCCTGACCCCAGGATGCTTGGAGGCCCAGAGGAGAGAGAGGCAGCCCAGCCGCCCAGCACCCCTTTCTGCTTTCCTTCTCAGACATGCCGCCTATTCCCCTTGCACCCGCTTCCAATAAGGAGCTGGGGCTGCAGGGTGGACCCTGCCCACTGCTTTGGGGCCCTCAGGGAATGAGGCCCCTGCAGGATGTTGAGAGACCCCCTCTGGGATGCATGGTATTAGGTGGACCCTGGGAGACCTGGAGGGGGCAGTGGCTGAAGGTGCTCATATCTCTTCCTGGCTCTCAAATCGGAGGCTGAAAACTCGAGTGTCCTCAGCACCAGTCAGAGAGAGCCTACTTAAACCTCTGTAAATTCATTTAGGGCTCCCAACTAGGAACATGCGCCAGGTTTTTCAGGTGTGCAAAGCGAGGCAGAGAGCTTTCCTCACTGTCACACTCAGCAGTGGCTTGGCTCACCAGTGCCAAGCTGGGCTTCACCCCCAGGCAGAGGGCTCCTTTCCCACCCGCCGGCCCGCGAGCCGCTGGCCTTCCTTTCAGGCACTGTGCTGGTTCCGGTCCTCCCTCACCTCCCGAAGCACGGCCACTGCCCGTGACTTGTAGGTGGCAGGTGAAGGCCTCGGGTCCAGGAGCATCTAGTTTGTGGAATCAACACATAACCAGTAAAACAGGGGACCCGTTTTTAGGAAAGCATCAGGCTTCCTGCCGTGGCCCCTCAGAGCAGGTGAGCCTGCCGGAGAGCAGCTCAAGTGCGTGCAGGCTGGGTCCGGGCCACGAGGCGCTGAGAAGAAAGGCTTTCCCCACACGAAGCTACCGAAAACTCAGCCACGGGGTGGGTGCAGTTTAGATTTGGTGCCAAATACTGCGGGGCTGACTCCCTCCAGGGCTAGCGTCCAACCTCCAATGCCACTTACAATCCCTGCGGGGCCTCTTTCCCCACCGACCACCCTCAGTGTCATCAGATGCCACCCGTAGCTCTGAGATATGTGGCTGCCTTATAATGACTATGTAAAGGCATTCATTCACCTGTGTGGATCATAACAAATTATGGATAAAAACTGTGCTCGTCAGGAACCTGTATAGAGACCAGGAGGCAGTCCTTTCAACAGAACAAGGGGATACTGTGTGGTTTAAAATCAGGAAGGGAGTGCATCAAGGCTGTACCTTTCATCACACGTATTCAATCTGCTCTCTAAGCAAATAAACCGAGAAGCTGGAACGTGGCATCCAGACTGGAAAAAGACTCATTAACAACCTGCGATACGCTGATGACACAAACTTGCTTGCTGAAAGTGAAGATGATTTGAAGCCCTTACTGATAAAGAGCAAAGACTAGTCTGTAGTATGGATTACACTTCAACATAAAGAAAACAATATTCCTCAACTGGACCAATAAACAACATCAAGATAAATGGAGAAAAGACTGAAGTTGTCAGGGATTTCATTTTACTTGGGTCTACAATCAAATGACATATTGCATTGGGTGAATCTGCTGCAAAAGACCTCTTTAAAGTGTTAAAGAGCAAAGATGTGTTACTTTGGAGACTACAGTGTACCTGGCCAAGCCACGGTATTTAATAGCCTCGTATGTATGTAAAAGCTGGAAATGAGTAAGATCACAGAAGAACTGATGCTTTTGAGTTGTGTTGACAAAGAACCCTGGACACCATGGCTGCCAGAAGAACAAGCAGATCTGTCTTGGAGGAAGTACAGCTGGAGTGCTCCTTGAAGGCAGGGATGGCAAGACTTCCTCTCTCGTACGATGGCCACATTAGTGGGAGGGCCCAGTCCTTGGAGAAGGACATCATGACTGGGTGAAGCAGAGGGTCAGCAAAAGAGAGGAAGACCCTCAACGGGACAGACAGACAGACAGGCTGCAACAGTTGTGAGGATGGTGCAGGACGGGGCTGTGTCCTGTTCAGTGGGACACAGCGTTGCTCTGAGTAGGGACTGACTGCACAGCACCTAACCACAGCTCTGAAGGTGAACAAGAGAGTCTCAGTGAGTGTCATACTAGGAGAGAGGCTGAACAGTATGTTCAAAAGCATGCAAGCTGTCTGAGCTGCTTTTCTGACAACGGTCTGTTTAGGAGTTCTGCTGGTGTACTTGGCCGCTAATCAAAAAGTCGGTGGTTCGAACCATGGGAGATAGATGAGGTAGTCTGCTTCCATAAAGATTTGCAGCCTTGGACACCCAAGGGGTAGTTCTACTCTGTTCTGAAGGGTTGCTATGAGTTGGAATTGACCCGATGGCAGTGGCTCTGTCTGGTATCTGTCTGTCTGCTGGCTATGCCCAGTTTTCTGGAGGGCTGTTTAGGTCTGAGTGTGACTCCTGGCGCTGTGTGCTGTTGGCCGGGTTTCACATGTGGATGGGGATCACGGCCCATGCCTCCGAGTGGCGACCAGAAGAGGTGATGAAGTGGGAAGGAGCTGGCTCCAGTGTCAGAGGCTGGGGCTGGGAATCTCGGACCACTCTGCTCCCCATCCTGTCCTTCCCTAGAGGCCTGACTGCATCCTGCGACTGGGGACGCTGCAGGGCAGGGGTCAGACTGGCAGTATAAATGAGGAAGCTTCCTTCCAGGCCACCGCCAGATGTCGACTGGCTAAAACCGGGAGGAAAGAAGGATGTGTGCTATGAGCCTGCTTTGTATCAGAATCTGTGCTGGGTACCAGTGGGAATTGCCACAGGCCAGAGTCCTGCCTCCCCCCACAGGGGGGAAATATCATTAGACAGAGATAGGGCCGGGTAGTCAGGGCCAGGATAGGGGAGGTACAGACAGAGGGGTCAGTGATGTGGGAACCCAGAGCAGGGGCCTAATCCAGACTGACGGGTATCAGGGAAGGCTTCCTGGAGGAGGTACAAAAGGAGGGAAAATAAGCCAAAAGAATGTGTTCCTATCTGCCAGGGACCATTGTTTAGTCCCATTTGACAGATGAGGGAACAGGCTTAGAAAGGCCAAGCCACTTGCTCATGTCATACAGTGAGGCAAGTGGTCGCTGTCCTTCATGATCAGTTTTCCTCCAGATACTGGCAGGGCACATGGCCTGACTTCCCAGCATCCTCTGCAGCTAGGTGAGGCCATGTGATGAGGGGCTGGCCAATGGGGATTAAGTGCAGGAGGGGAATGAGGCTTTGGGAAGCGTCCTCTTCTGTCCCGTGGGCTGAGCTGGACGTGATGGCCAGAGCTCCAGGCCACCGTGGCTTTGGGAGAATGCACCGCTGGACATGGCAGAGCAGAGAGCCAGAAGGTGCCTGACTCGAGTGAATCTGTGGAAGTGCCCCAACATTCTGAACGGCCCACCCCAAGCCTTTTTACCTGCACAAAGCCTTGCATGTTTAAATAATTATTAATTTGGGTTTTCTGTCATATGCAGCCACAGAAAATCTGAATCAACACTCTTTTATCCTGCCACAGTAACACCAGGTACTGATGCTGAAGGTCTGTCTGGGCCTGACCTGTTTTACACACAGTGCTTCTCCTCAGCCCTGCTGCAGCCGCATGCAGTGGGCAGTCACTCGCCCTGCTTTGCAGATGAGGTCACTGGGCTCAGGGTTGCACAGTGAGCAACTGACTTGAACCCTGCCTCCCTTGCCCCGATTTGGGAAGGGAGTGTGTCTCCTTTCAAAGCCAAAGAGGCCTCAACAGAACATCGGCAGAGGAGGGGTGGGGGTCTAGTGGGGTGGGAGGGGCCTACCTTCATATGCCTTGGCTGCGTTTACCAGGCTGGACCACTCAAGGCCAGCAGCTGTGTCGGGCAGTGGCATCATCCCAGGGTCGAGGCGCCGCAGTGGCCGGTCCCGCCCTTCGGACAGGGAGAGCTCCGAGGCCGAGATAGTGGCTGGGTGGGGAGAGTGGAGATGAGAAAACGATTGAGGATGACAACATGAGAAGGACAGATAATGATCAAATCCTACTGCTTGTCCAGGGCCAGGGGAAACATACAGCAGGGTAGGGAAACATACAGCAAGGTATGCGGTGGGGTGTCAGATATCTGTGTGTGCAATTTGAAGCAGGACACTAAGGAAGGCCTCCCTCTGAAGATACCATTTGAACAGAGCTCGGGGAGGGGCGAGGAGGAAGGGAGCCAGGAGAATACCAAGGAAAAGCCTTCCAGGCACATGGAGGAGCCAGTGCAAAGGTCCTGAGGCAGGAACATGCCAAGGATGTTGAAGCGGTAGTGAGAGGCCCTTGTGGCCAAGATGGAACAAGGGAGGGGGTAAGCAGGAGCAGCCAAGGGCAGAGAGGAGACAAGGCCAGGCTGTATGAGCCTCGTGGGTGACCGGGAGGACTTTGTCCTTCTCTCGACTGACATGGAGCCACTGGGAGGGGATCTCTAAGCAGAGAGGGCTGTGAGCTGACTCAGGGGTTTACAGGCAGACCAGGAGGCTCCTGAGATATTCCAGGAGGGAGACAAGGGTGGTGCCATGGATGGACAAGTGGACAGATCAGGGATCTGCTTTGTAGGTGCAGCCACCGCGGTTTCTAGAACGATGGATGTGGGTGTGAGACAAGGAGAAGGGTCCAAGATGTCAAGGTTTGTGGCCTGAGCACAGCAGGGTGGAGATGCCACTAACCGAGAGGGAGAAGCCAGCAGGGAGGGAGGCTTGTGGGGGAGGAAGTTTGGAGGTGTTGAGTGTGAGAGGCCACGAGGTGACACAGTGGGTGGGGAGTGTGCCACATGAGTCTGGAGCTTGGGGAAAGTGCCAGCTGCAAAGACAGACTGGGTCATCTGTGTATGAATGTTCGATGTGGCAGAGTCACCGTGGGGACACCTGGTGGGAGCGGCTGTGACACACAGCACAGGAAGAGGCCCTGAAGCCTCAGGGTGTTGGAAATGACAGACATGAGCATTCGCTGCATCTATCAAGTGCCAGGCTTAGGCCCTGAACCTAAGTTCGCTAACTCCTCAAAGCTCCCTCAGAGGAGGGGATAGAGAAGACATCGAGGCACACAGAGGCATGCCTGAGCCAGGCTGTGAACCAAGGCCACTCCTTGTCTGAGCACCTCTGCTGTGCCAGGCCCCATGTGGGCACGCTGCAGGGTCACCTCACACCTCTCCACAGCCAGGAAGGAGGTGCTGTTATGAACCCCATGGTGCAGAGGAAGAAAACCGAGGCGCAAAGCAAGAAGCTGCCTTCCGGAGTTCACAGCTGGCCGTGGTGGTGGTGGTGTGAGGATCAGAACCTGGTGGGCTGATGCTGACCCTGCTCTAAGCCCAAACTCACTGAAGGCCGCTGCTCCCACTCGGTTCTAACCCTCCTCTCTAGTGCAGAGGTACAGATCTGACCCAGGGTGGAGCCAAGTGCTTGCTCCAGATGACAGGATGCTAACAACAAGAGTTAACAGCTGCTCACTGCTTAGGGGACACTGAACTTCTGTAAGGGTGATGGAAAATTCCAGGAACAGATGAGGAGGGCGGTTGAACATGATGAACATAAGTTAATGTCACTGAAGTCTCCATGTGAACACAGCTGAAGTGGCACATGCATGTCTTATTACATACATACACTCTGGTGGCACAGTGGATAAGGCATTGGCTGCTAACCAGGTCAGCAGTTCAAACCCACCAGCTACTCCACAGAAGGAAGATGGGGCAGTCTACTTCCATAAGGGTTTGCAGACTTGGAAACTCAATGGGGGTCACTAAGAGTCAGAATGGACCAGACAGCAATGAGTTTATACACACACACACACACACACACACACACAGCAATTTAAAATGGAAAACCAGGGGAAAAAGTGTAATAGCTAGAAGTTTTGAGGAATTCCTACATAACAGGCACTGTGCTAAGCGTTTTCTAGGTATTAACTTGGTCGAATCTCACACGAACTTCATGAGGTGGGTGCTATTTTAGTCCCTACTTTATAGTCAAAGCAACTGAGGCATGTGTGTGTGTGGGGGCAGCTTTCATCTGCTGCTGGGATCTCTATCTGTGAGGGGTCAGGGACACAGCCACAGGCTGTGTCACTCAGGAGGCGTTAATGGCTTGTGTGGCACTCAGTAAGTATTTGTTGAATGAATGAATGAATGAACACTTGGGTGAATGGATGACTGAGGGCAGAGGACATCAAGCCCTTACATCAACTCTACCCTGTGTCTCCAGCCTGCTGCTGAGGGGTGGGGGCTCTGGGAGCAGCTGCCATTGCCAAGTCAGTCATCAGCGTGTACTTCTGTGAGAGGCTCCTTGGCATGGAGGGCCCTTCATCAGTGGAGGCCTGGCCTGGGCCAACCGACACTCTTCACCCCAGACAAGTCTTGAGAAGGGCCCTCGAGCAGGGAGAGGAGAAGAGGCCTGGGGCTTGGGCCATGCTGAGGCCAAATGAGACTCTGTCCCTTGTTCAGGAGGGTGGGGGAGTCAGACGGGCAAGAGAGGTACATGTGTGTGCTCTGGGAGACAGAAGGCCCTGGTCTGGGGTCATGGCAGCGGTCCAAACAACCCCAACAGCTGCCCTTATGGAGCCCCAGCACAGCCCACGTGTGATGAGCCAGAGTGAATGGGGCTGGGAGGGGTGTTACAGGAGGCAGAGTAATCAGGGATAGGACGAGAGACTCCCAGGGGGCTGGGGAGGCCCAGAGGAGGTGCCTCACAGGCTCGGGGCTGAGGTAGGGCTTCCTGGAGGAGGTGGCATCCGAGTTGAGACTGAAAGGATGAGGCAGAGGTGGTAATAAAACTCCACCTTGCACACCAGCCACTCGGCCTTGGCCTATCTCTCACCCTCTCACTCACTATGCATTGACTCTTATGTGCCAGGCTCTGTGGGCACAGGCAGGGCCCAGCCCCGCCCCCCCCCCCCCGTTCTGGTATGCTGGAAGCTGGAAGGCATCTTGAGGGGCAAGGGCTGAGTTGAAGCCCAGTGGCAGGAGTCCCCAAACCCCAGGGGAAGGAGTATGGAAGCAGAAAATAGGGCAATGAGGAACTGTGGAAAAAGTTTAAGGGGGGAGATGGACCCCCCCAGAAATGTCCCAGAGTCCCCCTCAGTCCCATCCTCTGAGGGGTGCCAGTGGCTCTGTCTTGGTAACACAGGGCACAATCACTCTGCTGAAAGCCTGGGGATTTGAGGGTTTGTCTGGATCTGAGACTGGAAGCTGTGCACATGCCGTGTACTACAGGGCACACCCACCAAGGTCAGGCCGGGCCCTGTCATCGACACGGCAGCATTCTGCAAGGGAGCCAGCATCCATCTGCACCAAACGGGGTCAGTGAGGGTCACACGGGTCTCACGGCTTGGGTTTCGTTCCCCGGCGAGTTCAACCCAAACATGCCAATCCCCTTCCATTTCAGACCTCTGAGACCGTGGAGAGGAGGGGCAGAGGGGACTGAGGACCTGGCCCAGCCTGATGACTCACAGCTTTTTGGTGGGGGCTGTGGACCCAGAGCCTGGCTCGCGGGGATGCTCAGCAAGTATTTGCTGGATGAATTAATAAAAGGATGGATAAACCACACTCTTGTGCACCCCCGAAGAGTTAGCAGACTTGAGGGGGAGTCTGGTAAGGAAATAAATACTCTCAAAGAGACCTGCTTGGCACTGGAACAGGGAGGGACAGGGATCTGGGGGAGCAGCTAGCGCGGCCTGTGATCCTCAGGGCCCCCTGGGGTGGTCCTTTGGTCTGTGCATGTGGAAGGGCTGCCGCATCCTCTCTCTGATCTCAGGGGACCCCAATCACTGGGCGCTCCAGAGGCCGAGGTAACCCCCAGCATGTGAACCTCACATACTCCCTGATGCTTAGCCAATGACTGCCTGCTCCTTGGGCGACACCCGGCTCTAATCGTCAGGCCCCCTGAAGTTCATGTCTCTCCCTCGGACGACCCCAATACTGAGGGCCGCTAGCCTTTGACCTGATGATCCCCATGCTCAGGGGACCCTGCTGCCCAGCCCTGGAGTAACCCCCCCACCCCTCAGGCCCAAGGTGGCCAGGCTCACATTTCTTCTCTGGGAAGCCATTGCCGGTGGCAGGGACAGTGTTGGGGCCCCCACCGCCGGGCGGGTGGGGGTGCTGCTGCTGGCGGCGGGCGGGCAGTGTGCTGGAGGGGAAGGCGCTGGTGCCGGTGAAGAGCACGTCGCTGGCCAGGCCCGGCTCCAGGCCGGTCGGGTTGGCGAAGCTGGGCTCCCGGCGCCCACTACACAGGCTCTCGTCGGACAGTGTCCGCTGTAGGCTCTTCTGTGGGGACTGCTGCCGAGACAGGGGAGACACGGGGCATGATCACAGCCTGGCCCGTGGTCGTGGTCCTCAGAGGCTTCTTCCTGTTGGACACCTGTGGTTCTCAACCCCTCGTGCGCCCTTCTGCCCTGTGCACTGCCAAAGTATCTCCGGGAAATCCCCCACGCAAGCCTACCTCCAACTCCGGGTAAGGGACCGAGGTCTGTCCCGAGTGCCAGGTTAGGGGAGGGAATGGGCCCCAAGATGGATCAATTAGATCCAGTGCTGGGACTTTGGTGGGTACCACTGGGGACAAAGTGCTGTGGGCTAGCACCTTGTAGAGACTGGGGCTGCCTGTCATCAGGAGAGAGCACCTGCCTCAGTGAGGCCAGTCTGGGGTAAGTGGGGACAGGGTGCAAGGAAGCAGACAGTGCGGGGGGTGCTAAGGATGCCTATGGCTCCTGCCTTGTTCCCTCCTTGGGCAACAAGGGCCTATGTTTCTGCTGGGAGACCCTCCTCTACTCTCCGTCCACGTGGTTTGGGCCACTGGGGGCTGTTTCTGCTTCACCCCTGGGCACCAGGAGGAGGACATGGGACCCAGATCCAGACAAAAAGATCCCTTCCCAGCTACGTAAGGTACCTTGTGACCTCACGCATTCCTGCCGAGGCTAAATCGCAATCCTGTTTCTGAAATATGGCACCCTTAGTCCTGGCCCTGGGGCCCCAGACATCCAAAAATGGCTGGCGGGTGCCAAAGGCTGAGGAAAAAGGGACGGAAGAGGTGGGAGTGACTGCAGGGAGCCCCGCCCCCTCCCTTGCCCTCTGTGGGTCCGTCTGTCAGGAGCAGAGGTGGGACAGCTGTTACGTACCTCTGGGTCTCTCTCCTGTTCTGGCCCCAGGTTGTCCATGATGATGAGTTTCTTGAGGTCGTCTTCAATGGTGGATTTGTAGTTCTTCCGTGGGGAGCGGAGGTCTCGGAGAGATGCCCTCAACCGCGGCTGCCCAAAGACGTTTTTTGTGCTGGTGTCCACCTGCCTGGAATGAGAGGGCCGAGGTCAGAAGGGGCTCGGGGAAGCTTGAGCTACTTCTTGAACCTGTCCTGACCCAAGAAGGTCCACCACCACCGGGTGAACTACCACAGCCTCCTACGCTTCACCCGGTGAAGGCCGTGGTGGCGGCGGGGTTTTGTTCATTCTCTCCCTTCACTCATTCCACCTGCTCCTTTACTGGGGACCTACTTTGTGCCATACCTGTGCAGGCACCGGGGACATGGTGGTGAACATGGAACAGAGAACACACGCTCCAAGTGCAGGGAGAGAGCCAATGAACAAGTGGATGGAAGACCTTGAGTAAAGCAAGGCAGAGGGAAGCGTTCTGAAGGAAAACAAAGACAGGAAGAGGAACAGACCGACAGGTGCAGGGACGGCTTCTCTGAGGTGACATGTGAGCAGAAACCTGGAGAGGAGGAGGAAGGCATGCTAGGCAGTGAGAGCATGTCAAGGCAGGAACATGCCAGTGTGCGGGGCAGTGAGAAGCAAGGGGGTGAATGGAGGGAGGGGAGGCCTGGGGGTGGCAGGCAGATTGTGCAGGAACCTGTGGTTCTATCTGCAGGGTGACAGGAGCCTCCGAGGGCTCTCACCTGGTGAGTGGTAGGCCTTGGTGTGCATTTTAGGAGGATCACTGGCTGCTGGACAGAAAGCCAATGCTTGTGGGGATGGGAGACTGTCAGGAAGTTGCTGCAGTTGTTCAGGGCAGATGATGGTGACCCAGACCAGGGGGCTTCCAGCCACAGAAAAGGGATGGGGTCTCAGGAGGATGAATCATGCAGATGGGACTGGCCTTTCTGGGCAAGTGCTGGCCCACAGGAAGTGGCCCTCTGGCCAGCCTGTTAGGGTCAGTCAACAGACATCCTTAGCCTTAGTTTCCTCATCTGTCACACAGGGTAACAGAGCTCACACATCACGGGGTGGCCGTGAGGATCCAGAGGGACGAGGCCGGTGCAGGGTGGGGCCCTCACTACTAGCACCCCCACTTCTCTGCTGAGCCTCATCCCCCAGAAGCCTGCCTGCTTCTGGGGCACTCTGACCACCACCCTCCTCCCAGGCATTCCCATAGCCAAGGGCCACCACACCAGGCCCTGCTGTTCCGGGGCTCTCTGTAGCCCAACAGCCAGGGATGTACAGCCTGGGGGTAGAGGCGGGAGCCTGGAGGCAGACAGGCCTGCTCTGAGTCCCGGCTCTGCTCCTTCCTGCTGTGGGATCCTGGGCAAGTCTCACCACCGCCCTGATCCTCAGTGCGCCATCTGACAAACAGGCTGGCCTCGCAGCATGGGGGGCTCTGTAGAAAGTGCTTGGTCAGCATGTGACCGGTGACCGAGAGCGGCTGTTTGGAAATGCGGGGGCTTCTGTGACAGCCTCCCCGAGGCTGTGTGCATACGTGCCTTCCTGCGCTCAGTCACTTTACCACCTGTGCAGGGCTCTACAGGCCATCACCGTGTGGTGCCGGGGCCAGCTCCCCTGCGCCTCTGTGTCCTCCATTCACTGACCCCCAGGCCAGGTCACCACCCTTTGCCTTCTAATTCTGGCTCAGCCTTTGGGCTCAAGTCTCCCTCCCTTGTGAAAACTGAGTCATTGACCTGAGGGCCTGCCACCCCCCAGGGACAGAGATGATGACAGCCAGCTGGAGCACAGCCCTCCACACAAACCAGATCGTCAACCCACCGGCTCAGTGACCCCAGTGGGTTTCCAAGGCTGTACATCTTTACACAAGTAGACTGCCCCATCTTCCTTCTGCAGAGCAGCTAGTGGGTTTGAACCACCAACCTTCTGGTGAGCAGTCAAATGCCTTAGGCACTGCACCACCAGAGCTCCTTAACACACACCACACACTGCTTATCAGAACTGCAAGCAACCCTCTGAGGGGGCACTATTGTGACTGTCCTCATTTTACAGATGGGAAAACTGAGGTGCAGAGAAGTGAAGTCATTATACAACATGGGCCTGAAATCAGCATTGTCCCAGTCCTGCCTTGAAACCAGTCACTCTTTTGTCACTTTTCCCTTTTCCTTTCCCTGGCTGGGGTGAAAAGTTAACATGTTCAGATGCTTACTGAAAAGTTGGATGTCTGAGTCCACCCAGAGGGACCGCAGAAGACAGGCCTGGCAATCTACTTCCCCAAAGTCAGCCACTGAAAACACTGTGAGCACAGTTCTCGGTTCCTGGAGCTGACCCGATGGCAACTGTCCACCCTGCAGCCCCACGAAGCTAACGCAAGCGAGAACCGTCTTCTCTGTGTGTGTTTTGTCTGTCCACCCACCAGAACACGAACCACATGACAGCAAGGCCTATGTCACCCTCATGAACTCATCTGGTCCTCATCACAGCTGTACGAGCTTTCCTATTACTAGTACTACTCATGCAGTACCACATTTCACAGATGAGGCAAATCAAGGCACAGACGAGTGACACTACTTGTTCAAGGTCACACAGCTTGTGAGTGGAGGAACAAGGATCCAAGCGAAGGCCACCAGGCCGCAGAGTCTGTAGCTGTTACCATGATGCTCGATGGCTCTGCTTACATAACAGACAGCAGGGAAGAGAAGGATGGCGTGTATACACGGTCACATGTGGTTAAAACACACGTCTTCTGTACGAAGTTATGAACGATGATTACCTCGGGGGGAAAGGATTCTTAGTAGGAGGTGAGAAGAGTGTGTCTTTTACTTATCATCTGATATGCTTCTGAGCTGTCTGAATTTATTTTCACTATAATCATGTATTATAGCTGTAACAATAAAAATTATTATTATTATTTTAAAAAAGCTGACAGGTGGACATAATCATTTTCTAACTTAGGAAAGGGACAGAGCCTTTGAGCCAGAGAAGAAATACAATGTCTTGGGCTCAGAGATTTTGAAGTCTGTCGGTCTGTCTGTCTCTCTCTCGGCTGCCAGCCTGAGGATTTTAACAAAGGAAGAGAAGGTGGCAAGTGTTTTGTTGTGAGGTCATAGTCCTCCCCAAATTAGAATTCCAAGTCTGGGGTAATTCTGGCTCTGCTAATATCAGGGAAGTGAATTCTCTGGGCACCTAAAAAAGCTTTGGCTCCACATGACAGAAACAGAGACAGACAGATACACACACCCCACGTACGAAATTTTCCTTCCACCGGCGCTGGAAGGGATGGGAAGTACCCGGTAAGACTTGTCCAGAGACTCTGGAAGGGGACTCACAACCCCCTCATCCTTCCCTTTTGACTGGGCATTTCCCAGAATCCCCTGCCCTGGATGCTGCGAGAGGGGCCCCCTGTGCCCACCTCCACTGGTGAGGGAACAGCCAGGCCCGTCTCCTGGCCTTCAGCACGCCTCCCAGCAAGAAAGGGGCACTGTTCACAGGGCTCTCCTCCTGGGAGGGCTGTAAAGGGATCTGTTAAACTTTTAACGTGTCCTCTCCGCCCTGGCAGTTCTCCTTCTAGAAGTGTGTCTTTCAGAAAGGCCTGAGTGTACGGGGATGCTTCCCAGGGCACTGTCTGTGGAGCAGACCCAGGAGCCGCCAGCAGCTGCCAACAGGGGAGGATCGAGGCAGACGGTGGCTCGACAGGGTCATAGCATGCAGCTGCTAAAAGGAAGTGGGGTTGGCCCACAGGACACGGCCAGAGGTCCTTCCAGAATCACCAGGTGAAAAAAGAAATGGTATGTATAGTGTAGAACCATTTCATAAAACATAGCTCAGCTTAGTACACTGAAGTTTCCTAAACTCTCATCTCTAAGGGTGGGACCTAAGAGGGCTCACTTT